GTCAGCAGTTCAAAACTACCAGCTGCTCCGCGGGAGAAAGATGAGGCTTTCTACTCCCGTAAAAATTTATAGCCTTGGAAACCCTATTCAGGGTCGCTATGGGTTGGAACCGACTCCACGGCACTTAACAACAACAACCACAAAGAGCTCTGGTAGCGTAGTGTTTACGAATCGGGCTGCGAATTGCAAAGTCAGCAGTTCGAAACTACCAGCTGCTACGCGGGAGAAAGACGAGGCGTTCTGCTCCCATAAAGATTTACAGCCTTGAAAACCCTGTTCAGGGTCGCTATGGGTTGGAACCGACTCAACGGCACTTAACAACAATAACAACATTTATATGCAAGTTCAAATTCATTTATAGTAGCCTAAGGAGTTCCTGGGTATCACAGACAGTTTAGCCGTTGATTACTAGCCCAAAGGCTGGGAGTTCAAATCCAGAAGGGCCTTGGAAGACAGATAGGATGATCTGCTTCTGAAAATCACAGCATGGAAAACCCTTCGGAGCATTTGTACTCCACACTCATAGCATTGGATCGATTTTCGGCAATTAATGACAATACGCCTAAAAGCCCTAGACACACTTTACCAGGTCTGAAAAGTATTGTTGACAATGGCATTGAAAACAAGACGATCTCCAACTGTAGATGGTCCTCGGAACTTAAACATGTCCACAGACTTTAGAAAGGAATGTCTCCAACAGAGACGGCTGAGAAACAAAAAGAAAGAGAAAGTAGAGATCATTTTCTAAAATATTTGTGAATTGCTGATCGATTTAGTGGATGCAATAGAAAAATATTTGATATGCTTTCTACATAAACTTTTTAAATTCACAAGTGATATAAAAAACTGTGAATTTAAGTTTAACGTCTTAAATTAAGAATTTAACTGTGGTTTTAAGAGTGGTTCCATGCACTATCTGCAACTATTGTGGGAAAATAGTTTCAGAGCAACTCCCTAAGGAGTGGGGCCTTTACAAAATGCTGCTCTTTGGTGACTGTCTTGACCCCTGTGAAGATCCCTCTGGACAACAAACCAATATTTATGATGTTTTAATTCGAGGGTTGCAAAAAGCCCTCCAGGTTGGTCATGAGTGCAGAAACAATAGGAAGAGTGCTTGGATTTGGAGTTGGGAACTCGTAAAGTTGGCTGCCAGCTGGTGCCATCACACTGATTCCTCAGTTTCAGAGTGAACTGAATGTGCCCACATATCAAAAGGCTAATTTTTCCCCCCTGGATTGCTTTTGCACAAAGCCTGAAAGGCTATAAGGTACATATTTTACAATTTGTGTATGTGTGAAATTTTGAGATAGTTATAACCAACACTTAATCTAAGAAAATTACTTCCATAATTTTCTACATTTTAGATTCCTACTGTAGTGATTCAATTATTCTAAAGAACTGTCAATATTAAGTGAACAGACTCAGCCAAATACATTGTAAGCCTTTATAATAGAGTATGTTCAACTGCTTTATTGTCATTAAGAATGACAATCTCATTTTACAAAACAAGCTCCCTTATTGGTGCATATTTCATAGGAAGGATAAATACAGGTTTCCAACTATAGTTATAACTATTTGCTGTTATTAAGTGCCGTTGGGTCAGTTCCGACTTATAACAGCTCTGAATAGGGTTTCCAAGAAGAACCTTGCAGTTCAAACCAAGCTTGAGGTCCAGTGCTTATCCTAAAATGCCACACCAGGACTCACATAGTTATAACTATGTTGTTTTTGTGAAATGCCATCGAGTCAGTTCTGACCCATAGCGACCCTGTATACAGTTTCCAAGAAGCAACTGGTGAGCTTGAACCGCTGACCTTGCAGTTCAAACGGCTTTGCAGTCTAGCATATTAACCCACAGCGCAACACCAGAACTCCAGTAACCTCAGAGGTATGATCTAATTGAAAATTGCCTTTAAGAAGGTCTCTAACTAGATTGACTATTTTTAGTGTAAAGGCTGTCTTCACCTAACTTGTCACACACCCTCTTTATAATGAGTTGCAGTGTTACAAGATCAGTATCCATAATTTAGAATAAAGTATTCAAATTGTCTTCTCATCTTGTATTTTTGAACCCCAAACTGAAAATTTTACCTTGAAACAAAAGGATGGATGAATCCTAAGGTAAACAAACAGCTAAATGATTTTTAGTTTTCTCATTTTGATAAAAGGCCAAAATTTCCCCAGTCTTTTCTTTGTCTCCTTGACTAGCCCAGTAACTGGATCTGGGGCTCCTTCTAGTCTCTCCCCTCTGGTCCCCAAATCACAAGCCAAAGGTCAAAGTTGAGAACCTGGCAGAAACATTAGCCACTGACTCCATCCAAGCCATAATCTGGCCACCAAATGTGTTCCCATGGTGATTTGCATGAGGTGGGAGGACTAGTTCAATACTCTGAACAGAGGTGCTCCTTGTAGAAACTGTTTCTTCTTCAGCACAATTGGGATCTGAAAGGTGAGTATAAAAATTAATGAGGGAGCTTACACAGAACCTGGAATTATGGATTTTCCTTCCCAGCAGCACACTCAAATCACAGGATTTTTTTATAAAAATGAAATTATTCCCAAAGATTTAAAACCCCTGAAGAAGGAAACACATGTTGTTCTAGTGAATAACTTTCATCTGAATGGCAGATATTTATGGTGAATTGATACAACTGAAGGAGTTCCTGGGTGTTGCAAAAGGTTAGTTCTCTTAACTGCTAATAAAGGGTTGGGGATTCGAGTTCACTCAGAGGCGTGTTGGGAGAAAGGACTGATGATCCACTTCAGAAAAATCAGCCATTGAAAACCTAGGGAGTGCAGTTATACTCTGACACACATGAGGTCAACATGAGTCAGAATTAACTTGATGGTAATTGGGACTGATTTATGCCAAATTATCTAAAAAGCTCACCAACATTTTGAGTAAATTTGAACTTGAGTTCTTTGGGGTAGAAGAAGGGCAGGAAGAAATTTGGGGAGCTGATGAATATGCTCATTATTGTGTTTGTGATTTTTAACCACTCAGTATCTTGTCCTATTAGAATGACTACTTCTTGGTCATGATAAACAAAGAACTTACTGAAATTGTCAAGATTCCATTTTAGTTGGATCCACAATTAACACCTTTATAAACAGTAGTAAAGAAATCAAATAATGTATTGCACTGGGGGGCAATTCTGCTGCAAAAAGACCTCTTTAAAGTGTTAAAGAGCAAAGATGTCACTTTGAGGAAAAGGATGCACCTGACCCAATCTGTGATATTTTCCAATTGCTTCATCAGCATATGGAATCTGAGCAATGAATAAGGAACACCCAAGAAAAATCAGTGACTTTGAATTATGGTGTTGAACAAGAATATTAAATATACTATGAAGTGCCAGAAAACAAACAAATCTGTCTTGTCAGAAGAACAGCTAAAATACTCCACAGAAGCAAGGATGGCAAGACTGTGTCTTACAAGCTTTGAACATGTTATTAGGAGGAAACAGTCCTTGGAGAGCGACATCATGCTTAGCAAAGTAGAGGGTCAGGGGAAAAAGAAGAATACTTTCATGAGATAAGTTGTTACAATGACTGTAACTATGGGCTCAAACTTTATCAATGTTGTGAGGATGGTGTAGGACTAGGCAGTGTTTTATTCTGTTGTGATTGACATCATTCTGAGTTGTAACTGAATGTATAGTTTCCAACAACAGCAGCAGCAATTATTGTATGTCAATTATGCTTCAATAATGTTGCTAAAGCTGAAAGAACTGAAGGAAAAAATTCAAGTTTTGAGTTGCCATACTGAACAACAATAGCAATAGGCAAAACATTAAACAATGCAGGAAACATCAAAAGTAGATGGAAGTAATACCCAGTCACTGTATCAGAAATAACTGGTCAACGTTCAGAAAGACGTTTAGTTGTAATATATTGACTATGCAAAGGCATTCGTCTGTGAAGGTCTTAACAAGTTATGGATAGCATTATGAAGAATGAGAACTCCAGGACACTGAATTTTGCTCATGTTGAAATATAACTGTATATATAGCAAGAGGTAGTCATTTGAACAGATATTATGTGGTTTAAATTCAGGATAGGTGTGAGGCAGGGTTGTATCCTTTCACCATACCGATTCAATCTGTATGCCAAGCAAATAATCTGGGAAACTAGACTACATGAAGACGAACACAACATTCAGGATTGGAGGAAGGCTCATTAATAGCTGGGATATGCAGATGACACAACCTTGCTTGCTGAAAGTGAAGAGGATTTGAATCATTTACTGATAAAGATCAAATACTATACTCTTAAGTATGTATTACACTTAATATCAAGAACTAAAAAATTCTCATAACTGGACCAATAATAAAAATAATAAGTGGGGAAAATATTGAAAATATTAAAGTTGTCAAGGATTTCATTTTATTTGGATCCACAATCAACATTCATGGAAGCAACAATCAAGAAATTAAAAGACGTATTGCATTAGGCAAATCTTCTGCAAAAGACCCTTTTAAAGTGTTAACAAGCAAAGATGTCACTTTGAGGACTAAGGTGTGCCTAACCCAAGCCATGGTATTTTCAGTCACCTTATATTTATGTGAAAACTAGACGCTGAATAAAGAAGATCTGAGAAGAATCAATGCTTTGAATTATGGCGTTGGCTAAGTATATTGGCAGTACCATGGACTTCCAGAAAAACAAATAAAATCTGTCTTGGAAAAAGTACTGCTAGAATTTGCTTTAGAAGCAAGGACAGTGAGACCTCTTCTCACATACTTTGGGCATGTTATCTAGAAAGACAAGTCCCTGGAGAAAGACATCATGCTTAGAAAAGTGAGAGTCAGGGAAAAAGAGGAAGGCCCTCAACAAAATGGCTGCAACAATTGGCTCAAACTTAACAATAATTAGGAGAGCAGCACAGGATCAGACAGTGTTTTGGTCCATTGTCCATAGGGTCTCTATGAGTCAAAGCTGACCTGAATTTACCTTACAACAATAATGCTAGTAAGAAATGAATCTGAGGTACAAAAGGCCACAGATACTGAGAATCTGAAACATGTTGGTTGTGCTAAAAATTTCAGAAGAGGAATGTGCTTTTGTGTGGTAACTGCTTTGTAAAGAATGCAATCATAAACCAAAAAGGCACAATAAGTTGCATTTCTCAGTGTCCTGCTTCTTTTGAATCATATCTGCTTCATTTACTGACAAATTGGTTTTTACTCTCAACAATAAAGAAATCATTTACTCTGGCTGCAAAGAAGTAAAATGTATTCAATTATGTTTCCTGCAAACAGTTAGGCTTAAATCTCTTGTTGGAGAAGTGGGGGAAGATTTACAAATCAGGGGTACATCCAGGTTCTACTGTCAGAAGCAGCGCTGAGCTTGCAGTGTGTTACCACACCTACACCCAGCTGGTGTTGGGAAACTGAGAACTGGACCACTTGTCACTGACACTCATGGGTGAGCAAAGAAGTGTGGCTCCAGAGATCTTTCCTTCCGTCTCCTAATGGAATTTTTACATTTGTAGCTAATTGATGGTCTTTATTGTAGCCTTTTATTTCTTCCTTTATTCCACAGATCATCATCCCACTTCCCTGCACAGAATACATTAGCAGTGCAACAGAATGAAACACGTCTTTGGACACCTTCACAAATGCTATGCTTGAGTCCATTGCTGCTGCCATTGTGCCAATCTTTTGGGAATCTTCCTCTTTTTCACTAACCCTCTACTTTACAAAGCATGATGTTCTTCAACAGGAAACAAAACCCCAAATCCTTCACATGGCCTAGACTTTCTTTTCTTGTTTCATCTATACCTACTTCTTGAGTGTTTTCTCAGTCACACCCATGCACCAACCTCTCAGACACAACCCCAACACATCCTCTCCACTTCTGTCAATTTCTCTCTCTTTTTGCTCCAGACACACAGGTCTGTTTCTTTCAGTTCCCTCAACTCAGTGTTGCCTTAAACATCAAGGCATTTGCACATGCAGTTCCCTCTTTTATTACTAATTTCCCCTGGCTACCACCTCTATCCCATTCCAATGAATTCCTGTCCTTCCCTGGCTCTTCCCAGTCATCACTTCCTCTAGGAAGCCTACCATCCCTCCCACCGGTGAGTCCCACTATTATAAGCTCTTGTTTTTATTTGTATGATCTTTTAGCATCTGATCCACTAGAGGCTAAACTCCCTGTAAGCAGGGACTGTGGTTTTTGTTTTCTCTTCTAACATACTTTCTAAACATGGGTGCTGAAGAAATATTTGATGAAGAATGAATGAAGACACTTTTTTTGTTTATTATTAATGGTCCTTCTCAAGAAAACACCTATAGGTAACATCTTCGCTGTCATGCAATTAGGAAAACTATAATGTTCTGCATGATTTTTAATTTTTTTTTACAATTTCTAATGATAGATTCCCTCTCTGCCTACAACCCACATCTAATTTTTATTAGTTATAATGACTTCTTGAACTCTTTGTTACCATGTAGCATATATTCTTTGTTCCTCTTATCTACAGGAGCCCTGTTATCAACAGTGTAGTTGTTATGGGTCAGGCTGCTAACTGCAAGGTCAGCAGTTTCTATTGACCAGCGGCTCTATGGGGGAAAGATGAAGCTTTTTTCTCCTGTAAAGCCCTATACAGGGTTCCCATGAGGCAGAATCCGCTGTACAGCATACCACCCCCACCTCTACATTAGCATTATAATAACACTGACCATAACCATAGATTTTGCTGCATGTATTATCTCACTATAGCTCTTAAAGATAAGGAATACTCCTGTTGTTAGGTGCCATCGAGTCAGTACCAACTCATAGCAACCTTATAAATACAACAGAATGAAACACTGCTCGGTCCTGGGCCAACCTCACAATTGTTGCCATGCTTGAGCCCATTGATGCTGCC